TACTCTGTTTGTCTTCTTGTGCTTGTTTAGGAATTCTGGACAGGCTCTTCAATTTAGAGGGCCAAACTTTGTCTTCGAGTCATTTGTTCTTGAATCAACATAATTATCTTCAATATAGCCGTTGAAAATCAATAGATTGATTTTTCCTTACCAACGAGTAGAATTTCTTCATTCAGGACTTAGATAATTTTTCTAAGTCTTTTCTCACTTGTCCGCTTTCTGAGAATTCCGGTCTTCAGTGAGTCTTCCGATTCTTAGCTGACAAATCCGGATGAGTCATTTTCAGATTTCCGGGTGAGAAGGAGATCCGCGCTAGTCTTCCGATTTGGATGACTTAGACTTCAGCGGGTTGTAGCGAGACATCCGGTTCTTATGTAGTCTTCCGGATCAGAGGATTTTCGTTTGCTTGAGAAAATCCTTACTTGTCTCTGACATTTCCGAACAAGATATCCGATTTCCATATCACTGAATTTGATTAAGTCTTCAGGCATCAAAACGCTTAAAGAAATATCACAGCTTTTATTGGAAATCTCAAGAACTCGGTTTTGACAATATTTCTAAAAAGAAAAATTACATTGAATATTGGGGGAGACCTAAAGTCCCTAATACATTCTAAATACATCATCATCAAAATCTATAATATTTTTCCCAACAACTGTCCAAGCTGGGCACGCGGAATCCCCATGCTCTAGCTTGAGGGGGGTGTCACGCATGGAGAAGTCGCAGGTCACGTATGGCGCAAGACTTGGATTGGGAATTGGTTTCCTATTTTATGTTTGTTACCTAAGTTGTTTAGGTTTCCTTGTTTGTATTATTTTATTCCTACTAGGATTTGGAGTTTTCCTTCTCTATATAAGCAAGGGAAGGCTATTGTAAACAGACACACATATTGAATACAATTTTCTTATATAATTTCTACAATAACATACCTGGACTAGAAATATACTTTTTGGACCAACTTGCTCCGAATTCAAATCTGTTTTCACCGATGGATTCGTCTCGTCAAATCCTACGCAACGGTATAATTTTATATTTTACTAACGAATATTTAAATTAGACTCTAGGTTCATCTCAATAATTAATTAACTATTCTTAATTAATTAATTCTAATAGGGCGAGTTTCAGGGCGTTACATTTCTCTCCCTGTAAAATAATTTCATCCTCGAAATTACCTCAGTCATTGATCCGTGAAGAGATGAGGATATTGGGTTTGCATGGATTCCTCGCTCTCCCAGGTCGCTTCTTGCACAGCGTGGTTTTGCCGAAGCACCTTGACCAAGTGTACGGATTTGTTGTGCAGTTCTTTTACTTCGCGTGCTAGAATCTGAACAAGTTCTTCTTTGTACATAACATTCTCGTCAAGAGTGACCACTCCCTTAGGTAAGACATGAGATGGGTTGGAACGGTACCTCCTCAATATAGATAAATGGAATACGTCGTGGATCTCACTCAATTCTGGAGGTAGCTCTAATCGGTAGGCTACTAGTCCTACACGCCTGATAACTCGATAGGGTCCGATGAACCTATGCCTCAACTTGCCCTTCTTGCCAAATCTCAACACCTTATATAGGGGGCGTGCCGCTCCGGGAGGAGGCCTATCAGAAGGAGACACATGGCAGACGTAATGAATAGCGAATTACCAGAAAGACGCAATGACGCAACTGTTTAGATGACGATACATCATTTCCCAGAGCTATACACGTGGGCCCTAGGAACCCGCCTACTAGAGGATTTAAAAATCAAATTTTGAGAGTTTCACATTGCGCAGAATGAGATCGGTGGAGGGACTTTTTTACTTCTCGCCCTTGATGGTTCCTTAAGGTCGGAAGCGGAGGACTCCTCCTTTTGTTTACGAGGTTTGACCGACTTTATTTTCAATTCAATTTATTTTCAATTCAAAAGTATATCAAAATTCTACAAAACAAGAAGTGACAAGACTAAATTATTTTATCAAACAACTAACAAAAATCAGCAAATAAAATGATTAAAGTTTGATTGTGTGATTAGTAACTAGGAAGAATGTTTTAGAACGGAACGAGTACAATGCAAATACAATATCAATAATGAAAGAAAAAATATATATTTTATCACATTAAAACAAAATTCTATAATATAGAAAGTGTAATTACAAATATATATTTTTATAATAAATACTACATAAATAAATAAAGGTGAGCATAACCATAGTAGCTTTTAAAATTTAACATGTTAATATTTATGCTAACTTTATATTCTAATTAAAAATTGTTTTGCAAAAGTAGATTTTTTTGTATGAAAAATGACAATAGTTTTTTCCCAACATTGATTAAGATAACATGATTATGAATTTTATAATAATTATAATATTAATATAATAATAATAATAGTAATAATAAATTATAATAATAAATTATAATTATAAATTAATAATAATGACAATTTTTTAAAGTTTCTTTAGTTTTTTTTCATTTTCATCTAATTTCTTCTAGTTTTTCTAGTTTTTTTTCAATGTTTTCCAATTTTTTCTCATTTCTTTTAGTTTTTCAATTTCTTCTAGTTCCTTCTAATTTTTAAATATATAAAATTTATTTTATGTGCACCAATTTTTCATATAAATTTAATCTAAAATCAACTATGCTAGGGGTACACCAAGAAGTATACTGTATACCCCAAAAGAATGCACCAACATTTTAACGATTAACGCGGATACAAAATACTACTCCGTAGTTCAGTCAAAAAAATTGCACTAACATTTTAAGTTATTGTAAGCCATCACAGTAACATTATACACTCTCTTCATTCTAAAATTATCTTCCTAGTCACTATTTACATGGTCAAATTTTAATTACTCTTTAGTTATTTTTGTTAGTTATTTGATAAAATAATATAATCGTGTCATTTCTTGTTTTGTAAAACTTTTGATGTTGTTTTAAAATATATAATTTTTATTTATTAAATTTACCCATATAATCAAATAAATTGAATTAAAAATTAAATATAATTTCAGTTTAAACTCATAAACCAAACTCAGAAGATCATTTTTAGAGAGAGTACTAGCACAAAATATTAGTACATACCTGTGGTACAATTTTTGGGGACACATACTTTAATTCAAAATCTCAAAAATATCATAAGCAAACATTGTAACTCAACCCGCAATCGAGAAGTTACAGAGGGAGTAGGAGTAGCTTTGGTACTCAAAAGGACATAAAACAAACTTCTTTCGAACTAAGAACTTACTCTTTACCAAAAGCAGAAGATCCCATACCCCTTGTCACTTAGATTTTTCTTGTCCCCAAACACCAGCGACACTGTTTGCTGTTTCAAATCACACCTCGTCTAAGGAAAGCATTTCACTTCCTGCTGAAACTAGAGTGTGAACATATGGGGCCCACCACAAGCAATAAAATAGGCTATATAGATTCAAAACAATCTTTGAGAATTACCACAGGCAAAAATTACCACACCAAACTACGGCAGGTAATTAATTATACCTCCTTACAGCAAGTCTTCAGAAAGGGTAAAAATGGTAAAACAGATTTACATTACACTACAGCTACCAGTGTTTTCATCACTGAAGATGTGGGTGAAGTTGTCGTTGGCCGGCGGGTGAATCGGCGGCCCGTAGCCCATCGCCGGGTGCGGGTGTGGTGTGTACATCATCGGATGGGCGCCCGTGCCGCCACCGGGCATGTCGTACCCGTACGGTCGCTGCTGGTACTGGTTCATCATCATTTGAGCCATGTACTGCTGTTGTTGCGGGTGCGGGTAGTATGGGTTTCCGCCGCCGCCGCCTGGCCCCATCATCCCGGGGAAATAACCGCCGCCGCCTTTCATGGGGCCCGGCGGAGCGGGAAGGCCTTGGACGGCCGCCGGATTGCCCATCGGGTAATGGCCCATGGGTCCCATTTGGCCCATGCCTCTACCACCACCACCTTCATGGAATAATCCTTTCTGGGGATTGTTCATCATAAGCTGGCCTCCACCTTTGTGACCCCAATTATCACCCCCATTGTGTTGGCTAACACCTTTTTTATTACCATGAGGTCCTGCAGCACCAACAAATTGACCATTGTTTTTTCCACCTTTTCCATTTTTGCCCCCAATCATGTTCTTACCACCAACATCATTGTGATTCCCACCACCAGTCAAGCCCTTGAACTGCATTGGGATTTCAACCCCATCACCTTTCTTGGCCTTCCCACCACTTTTGCCATTATTACCAACCCCACCCTTCAACATGTTCATCATCCCACTGAAACCACGGGACCCGCCGCCGCCACCGCCCTTCCCACCACCACCACCACCACCCTTGACACCGCCCTCCGTTTTATTTTTTGTCTTGGACTTGGAGGAGGGCGGTGGAGGGTGGCGGCGGCGGCCACCACCTTCAAGCTCGTCACCGGCCGAATCATCATCATCGCCTTCGTCGTCATCATAAAACTCATCCTCGTCCTCATCGAAATCATCACAATCACCAAACTCGTCCTCGGGCAAATCGAACTTGACCGTCTTTTGGCCCTTGGGGTTGGGGGGAGGGCCTCTCATCATCATCATGTCACCACCACCCTTCATGAGATTTTGCATCATATGCCCCCCACCCTTCTGCTGGTCCTTATTATCCCCGCCTTTGCCCCGCGATTTCGGGTCTTTTCCCCCTTTGAAATCCCCAAGCTCCAAATTCATGAACTGGTTGTTCATCATCTTGAATGGATTATTATTACTATTCCCCTTTTGAGACCATAGTTCAGCATGCTTTCCTGATTTCTCAAGCTTCTTCAAAAGTGTTGCTGGGTCAGCATTCCCAGTTACTGTCACTTTCCCATTGTCTGCATCTATCTTCACACCATAAACTCCTAAAAAACAAAGAAAAAAAGATAAGAGTACAAAGATTTAATTTGGGGAAAAAATACAAAACACAATGATGTTTTAGCACGCCACACAGTACCTTTAAATAATAAAAAAAGCAAATAAAGTTCAATGGGTAATATTTTATACACCATGATAAAGTAAACAGCACAATAATAATAAGACTACCTACTAAAAAAGTAAAAGCATAATACTTACTTCATATCTGATTTATTAGAGTTTTAGATTAATTTTTCAGTTTCTATAGTATTTTTATTTAATTATTACGAGAAAATGTCTACTTAAAAAAAATATATATTATGAGAAAATCTCAAAATTTAACAATACAAGTTCATAAATCCATGTGTCTAACAATTTTCTTAAAACTAATTCTTTTTGTGTGTTTGTTCTACCGTCATACCTCAAAGCTACGTCGAGCGAATCAAGTAATTTTTTTTTCAAAATATAGTATACTTGCAACAAATCCAGAAAAGAAAAGACGGACACATACTGGCCAGTTTGACTTTTTACAATTTGGACGAATCTGGACGAAGTTTGATCATCAATTAAATATGGAGTAGATACTTCATATTGCAATATACTATACTTAATTTGTACTAATAAAATTTTTTTAAAAAAAAATATACCGGACAAATCCAATTAAATGATTTTTGAAAAAATAAGTAATGCAAATTTTTTTGTTAAACTAACGATTGAAATTTGTCTCATTTGATTGCGAAAAGTCAAATTAAAGGGACAGAGCAGACAATTGAATCCAAAGGAGTTTGGACAAAATAAATTTCAGCACAATACTGAGATTCAAAACCTAAAAAACAAAAGTCAGAAATGAAATACAGTAAAATGTTCAAGACAAATTGCAGCTTTGATTGTGGTACCATATATGCTATTATTGACTTAAGGGAGGAAGAGAGTGAATTTAATGCACAAAGTAAAAATAAATAAATAAATAAATAAATAAATAAACCCAGCTGGCTCACCTTCAACCTTCAGCAGTATCTTCTTCACCTTGTGCTTGCAGCCATCACAGTGTATATTCACCCTAAGAACACAAGCCTGCAAACATAATTTCCAAGAAAAATGCATTAACGAAACCCATATTACAGAATTACCAACATTAATTTTTGAATAAAAAAAAAGAATCACATTAAAACATTCAATTCAAGCTTAAAAGCTCAAGATTCAACTAGAAGAGAGAAGAAATTAAACAGAACTCAAAACCCAAACAAAACTGTTAAAAATTGAAGTAAAATGTATACCTGAGTCTTCATGATATCATGCTTATTATTCATCTTGCTCATCGCAACAGATTAAACAGGTCCAGGATGTAACCAGTGGCTTTTGTTTTTCAGGGGAAATTAAAAGAATCCCAAAAGAAAGAAAGAAAGAAAGAAAGATATTTTGAAAGAATATGAAATTAAGTAGGTTTGAAGTGGTTAGGAAGGAGAGAGATGGAGAAGATTAGAATGCAGAAAATAAAGGGTTGGAGGGAGGCCCAATGTGATTATAATGCAGCAGCTACTTTGATGAGAGAAAATAATTTTAAAAAAATATGAGACTCATCTCCAAGGTCCTTTTAGACCCGATCAGAAAATCATTTAGGGTCCGTTTGGTATACAGAATTGATGGAATTAGAATTGAATTGGAATTGAAATTCCATGGGATTCAATTCCATAGAATTGAATTCTGCCAATTCTAATTCATTTTTTGCACTATCAATTCCAAATCCACATAATTTTTGTACTACCAAATACCAGAATTGGAATTGAAAGTCTCAATTCCAATTCCATAGTTTGAATTCCGTGTACCAAACGAGACCTTAGGAAAGTGATAAATTGAATTTTGATTTCAGATTGGTGGCAAAAAATAAAGTCGATCCATTTACATAAGTCTTATGCATAGCATAATTAACTTCAAATACATTTTCGAATCGAACTTGAGTCTTATCCACAAGACCTCTTTGGGTTGGTTTTGGTTCACAGCCAGAGTAAAAAGGATGGGGAGGAGAGGGCGGCAGAGGATGAGCTGTCCCTGGGCAGGGCTTTGTCGGTTCTGGCATCGATCGACATGTTTTAGTCACCATTAAATATCTGAGATGTACTTTGGCTCTTTGCTGGCGACCCGATTGGCCGGCCCCTTTAACTCCAGGGTAAAGAAGTAATGTTTCATTTTGATTTTTGACTCGTTCACCCTCCGCCAAAAAAAATTACGGAGTACTATAGTTTGATTTACTTTGACAAATTGTGTAATATTTTAACTATAAATTTTGAAGAAAAAAAATCAATTGTAACGTAGATTTAATAAAACTAGATTCATCGTCAAAGAATTGTATAATTTGATCAAAAAACAAGTGAAATTTGCACTAAATAGGACTTAAACATAATGACTTTCTTAATGTAGGACTTAAACTTTTTTATTCCCTAAATAGGACTTAATAATGACTTAGTGGGAGGAATAATGTCCAGTAATGATGGACATTTACTTGAATAATGATTACTTGATAATAACCAAAGGTCCTACATTGGGAAATAAAAACATATGATCCTATATTGGGAAAGTCATTATGTTTTAGTCCTATTCAAGCAAATTTCTCAAAAAACAATACTCCGTAATGTTTTGAGATGGCGAGTGAATAAAATCTATGTATCGGGTACAGACCTCTCATTTTATTAATTAATTTAAAATTTAAAAAAAATTATTCAGAATAAACTCAACTTTATCCGATTTTTCAAATATAATCCAACATTTCACTGTGATGCATAATAATTCTAACCTTAGTGAAACTTGAGAGTTTTGGATCGCCGTTAAGTTCCTAACAGCGGGTTAACGAAAACATTATGTTTTGTGCAACAACATGAAATTTGGAATTATGTTTGATTAATTTTTATTTTAAATTTTTTTCTTTAAAATTTCATTTAAATGTTTAAAATGATTTTCTACCTTCATTTCTTTTCCTTTTTTAAAAAATTAGTCTTACGTTTAAAAAATAAAAAATATATATAAAAAATAACAAAAATGAAAAAAATAACTAAAAATAAACAAAATTAATGAAATAAATAAGGAAATCAACAGAAATTAAACTAAAACGGGTAAGAAATAAAATTAAAATATATAGAGTGGCAGGTTTTATATTTTAGAAATCACCCCTAATAGGACTAAAACATTGTGCTTATCCCTAAAATAGGAGTTCATGTTTTTTATCCCCCGAATAGGACCTCTCCCGCCACATTCTTTCTTTCTCTCCCGATTTTGCCCTCTTTTTCCTTTCCGTGTCACAATTCACAATCTGCCCCGTCTACATTACAACTCTTTGTAATACACATTACCACATTACATACTGTGACACTTTACATTACAATGGTTCGTAATATTCATCACCACATTACAAATTATGACACTGGTAATATCCACATTACATACTTTGTTGGACTATCATGAATTTTTTTAATTGCATATTAACCATTGCATAATTTTATTATTTTTTTGTTATGCATTTAAAGTCAACATGTCCATATGAGTTTAAAGGACAAAACATGGACATGTTGTGAATTCTAATTGGATCAATTTATTTGCGTTCATGCGGTGGCTGCTGTTAGGAGACATCCCGGCTTATCTTGTTATGATTTTATTTCTCCTTTCTACAAAATTGAGACGTTANACGTTAGTATATATGTACATATGCTGGTATAGTCCACCCAAACACATAGAAATCCTATTCCATGAGTGCAAGATCCAAACACTATTTGATTTCACTTTATGTTGCATTACATGACTTTTTTTAGTATGATTTAGTTGTGTTAAAATTGCTTGTACTAAGATGTAATGTACTTTTTAAAATGTCCTTCCTTGTTGACACTTTTATTTCATAATTTCGTTTCATTTAAATAACCTTTGTCATTCAATGCTGTGTACAGTGCCACAAATTGGCATATACATGACCAACTTTAGGGACTCTTATAAATTGTTGTACGTGTAAATGAGAAAACTAAAATTTCATATTGTAAATGGCCACCTTATGTCAACAATAATGCAACACTTAACTTTAATAGTAATATACTTATTTTATGTTTGGTAAATAAAGGTTTGCGGCAAGATGAGAGGGAGGGTAAGGTATTTTGGGGATGGCCATGCAAACTAAGTCCTATTTGGAGAATTTATGTTTTGGACTCCTATTTAGATATATTTGATATGTTTTAGTCCTATTTAGGTTTTTTTCCCTTAATATTTTTCCTACTATGCAGAACATTCATAAACCGGTTCTTTTTTTCCTCGAATCATGGTCAGCTGCAACCTGCATGTGGCGATTTTTTGGCAGAAGGGGGGGGGGGTTAATTTAGATCTATATATACCCCTAATTTTTTTTTAAAAAAAAACACAAAGCAAATTCTCTCAATCTATCTCTCTAAATCTCTAGTTCTTCTCAATTCTCAATATAATCATATATTCATATTTGTATATTTTTAATTTTCATATGTTATAAATATACTCCCTCCGTCCTGTTTTAAACGGCCGTTTTGACTTTGGGACATATTTAAGGAAGAGAAAAAATAGAGTTGACTCTCCGAAATTACCATTAATTTTTAAGAAGAGTGACGATGAATGAGAAGATAACGTGGAGAAGAGTAACTTATTTTAGGGGTAGTTTTGGTATTTTACTCTTAAAAGTTTACGATAACAAGAAACATGCAACTTATTTTGGGACAGAGAAAAAAAATCAGGCAATTTAAAATGGGATAGAGGGAGTACTATATATTTATATTATAATATATATTTGATATATATTATAATACCAATATTTTAAATTTAGAATACTTTAACATTCTAATATATTTTCTTATTTTTTTATCAATATAAAAAATATGTTAAAATGTCGAGGGAGTGTAGTAGAATGTCTGTAGATATGGGTTGTGTGAACTGTAGAGGTTCTAACAAAGGCAAAGCCCACGACACGTCCCAAGGTTCGAGCTCATGTGATTCTCAAGGGAGACACTCTGTCTCTTCTTTTTCTACAATTCCCGAGTAGTTCATGGGCGACGCTATGAGTGATCAAAAATTCGATCCGTACATAGACGACATGAGAGGTAGGATTGATGCCAATCTTGAAACTCTTGAAGATATATTCAAACACATTGATGAGGATGTCGAACCAACACCTGGGAGCAATGATCCTACCAATGGGGATGAGGAGACAGGTGAGCCCGAGACCTCTGAAGGTCTGGGGAAAGGTAAAAAAAACTTAAATCTGTTGTATATCATTTTCATAAAGATACAAAAATAGCGTAAAAATAGAGATATGTAACCATTGTGGGACAAACATTAGAATGGGAGTATCCAGGGGTTATGGTGGACGGACCAAACACCTTAAAGTGAGGCACCTCGTGGAGTACGCAAAAATGATGGCGATGAAGGGATAAATATAGACCTAAACTTCTCGTTTTGCAAATAAGGGTAAGGGTGGCCTTTTTGCTTATGGCGATGAGAAAAATAAGTAAAAATATGACTGAAATGATTTGCGAGGAAAATTTACCATACATGTTTTCTAAAAAAAACTTAGATTTAATTAATATTGTCAAACTACACTAAACCATCAAACAAGAGGTTTTTCAATAAAAATAATTAAGATAGAGAATATTAGACAATAAAAAGTTAAAAAAACAGTTTGGCAAATTTTTTTCTTACTGTTAAATCTTGTGTTACTATTTGTTCCGATATTTGGAGTGAAACTTATCATAATTTGTCTAACATGGATGTTATTTGTCACTGGATAGATAGTGATTGGATAATGCATAAACGTGTTCTTGCATTTTATGATTTCTATGAATCTCACACGGGTGATAATATTGTTCCTTTGCTTGAGCGTATTCTCATGAATACAATTTACTTGATAAAGTATTTGCATTTGGTTTTAATAATGCTACTCTTAAAGGAGAATTATATGTTCATTATGGCAATGCATATTTGTGAAGAAAGTCACGCATGACTCCACGAGTAATTCAAGGAACTGTTCAGCCAAATCATTGGTTGATATTAGTTACCTATTTTGTTGGTAATCTATGTATGGTAGAGATGTACACTTATTAGGATTCCTTGTATAGTCTATGCCTATGTATGTGATGTATCGTGTTATTCAAAGAGAGAAAAAAATATTTGTTCCATAAAAGATTATTTCATGGTATCAGAGCAACACTGGCGGTAATGAAGCTCCTCAACGTCGTACGATCTCGCCATATGATCTTCATGCTAATGATAATCCGGGGTTGATTATCACGCGGGTCACTCTTAAAGGAGAAAACTATGAAGAGTGGGCACGTGCAATTCGCACTGCTCTTCGTGCTCGAAAGAAATTTGGTTTCGTGGATGGGACAATCCCGAAGCCTTCCGATGACTCCCCCGATCT